TAATGGAGGAAACCTAATTTTTCCTATAACCTTATGGAAAAGGGATTTGGCTGAGACATCCCTGTAATAAGGACAGATTAATAGGAGAAAAACAGACAAAAGGGATTTTGACTGAGACATCCCTGTAATAAGGACAGATTAATAGGAGAAAAACAGACAAAAGTTTAATAACACATATATCTCCTGTGATATATCTCTTGGGAGAGCTCTGGGATCAGCGAGTACCTTGCCAAAATGAGTGAAGTCACAATCTCCAGCTGAAGACAAAAGATGTTGGGGGAGCCAGCTGTGGAGAGTACCAGGAAAAGCACAGGAAACAAGGGTGAGACTGTTAAACAAGGGTAAGGCTGCAGATTTACATCATGGCCTTTTGCATTGAGTTTCTAGGGTAGGATTATTCCCCTCTTGCTGGTACAGGATGATTACCTTGAAGGTTTAGTTACACATGTAAACATCTTTTCACAGGGTAACTTTCACTTGGTTTATAGAGCTTCTCTGATGTGTTTCTTAAAGTCAACCAGCCTGAAATAAACCTTTTGGGGTGACAAATTCTGCTCCCCTACATCCCTTAGGCTAAAAACCTGTACAGGATGTCACTGTACGGAATCCTGTGGGCAATTGGCTATATTTGGTAAAAATGAGAGAGATTTTAGAGGAAGATTGTGTGTCAGTAATACCCCTTTGTGGATATTAGATTCCAGTACTGTTCATTGTCTTTTGAGGTTTTGTTCCTACCTGTGAGCTGGCACCTATCATAGGATCCTGAATTCTTCCAGTTTCCTCCAGCATCTGGCTCTGATTCTGCAAACAAATGCCTTTGGTCTCTCTCCCATCCTTTGACTTGAAATCATTGAGAATTAGAACCGCACTTCCCCAAAAGTCCTGCAAGCTAAAGTGTGACAACCTGACAGAAACTTCAGAGAAGTGGCCACAACAGCTCATATGTGGACCATCTTGTTGCCGGATGCAGAAAAATAAGCAGCAACATTCAAACTGCAGACCAGAATTATCACACTGTCCCTGTGCCTTCACTCATCTGAAGATACTTTGAGCCAGATACCTAGAAGTCTACTGGTTGCCTTCAGAACTCAGAGACTGGGATCAAGTCTGCTTCAATTATTTCCGGCGTATAAGACGACTTTTGAACCGGAAAAAAGTCAACTGAAAATCGGGGGCAAAAGACCAAAATTGCACAAAAATTACCTGCAGATCTTGATGGCAAAGTAAGTCTTTTCTTTGAAGTGGGGAGTAGTCTTATACAGCGAATATAGGCCTACACCTATGTTTTAACTGTAAAAATTAGGGGGTCGTCTTATACGCCGGAAATACGGTAACTGTTGTTTTTCTTTTGTTTCCATAGAGATGCCTCTTATTAAACACCGACTACAGACCATAGACCCAACTGTGGGAGCCATCTGCAGCTTCACCTCCTGAATGAGAGACATCTGTTTACTGAACTGACCTACACTCAAGACTGAGACTGCGCTCTGAAACTAGTGTGTCATAATAATGTCTTTATGGGTCCTTCTCAATGCTTTAACCTCAAAGTGGCACACATATTGAGCTGACTGCAAACGCATTTGTGGAAAGCATTTCTCTAGCCTATATCCCCCCTTCGAGGGGCATGATGGACCCAAAGAAGGCATTGCCACCTTGGCATCGATGCATGTTAAAATTATTTTGTTTGATTTATGTTGTTTTCTGAGAGACAAATCTTGGTAAAAAGGGATAAAATAAAGAGTAGAGTGAAGAAATAAAGTGGAGTCACTATAGTTTAGCTGTAAATTACTAAAATTAAATAGGTTGAGCCATGAGGAAATGGTTCTATTTTTGTTTTACCTAGTAGTTGGGACTTTAAACTTTTGAATTTTCAGTCCTGGATTCACACCTGACGCCCATCTCCTAAGACCACCTGGCACCCATCATTCAGACTGCCTGGATTCCAGTGAGACCTTTTCTGACCCACACTTAAGGCTCAGAATGCGGACCGATTATTCTCAAGAATGTAGTTTTTACTCTGAGAATCCCAATCTTTCTTCTTCAGAAGACTTCAGTTATGTTTCCAGTTTGAAAACCCCGAGACTCTTGTGAATTTTTATCATTCATTTCCAGCAAAGCCTCCGAACTCTTTTTTTTTTTTCATTTGTTTCACAACATTGTATATTTAAATGGTGCAAAAATATTTTGTGCTTATATGTAAAACAGAATTAAAGTGCTAATGTAATTAGAAGCACATTTTAAATGATCCAAGTGTCCAGTCTGACATATGAAAGCCATGTGGGGCACAAACAATCATTATGCTGCAAATTCCTGTGCATGGGGGGGGGCGGGGAGGGGGGATTCATCCCTGTCCACTCTCAACTGAATGCCAGTGCCCCGCTCTCCTTCCTCCCATCATTGCGGTAACCAATTAAAGCAACTACAAATTTCCAAAATGCCCTCTAGGGGGCAGTACCGGTGTGGGCTGCGGTGTTAGATGAGTTTAACAGACGCCTTGGTTTCTTTTGTAAAACGAAAATAGTAGTAGCTGAGTGAGGGAGACAATGTACGTAAAACACTTAGCAAGATGCGTGGCACGCATTATGTCCTCCAAGAATGTAAGCTAATATTACCTCCCAGTGAGTCAGCAGAGATTGTTTGGGGGAACATTGTGTCCTTGGCATCCAGGTAGATGTGAGTTAGTGCAGATGGGATTAGGCAAGGAGCGCTCGCTGCCTGACACCTGAAACAGGCCGTGAATAATTAAACATTTACCATTCACAAAAAGGAGCTCCCAGGGAGAGCTGGCGTCAGAGAAATCTTTCTGGAGGAGACAAGAATTGAACCGGGGCATCTGGAACTTGAGAAAATATTTTTATCCCAGGAATAATAAATAACTCCTAGATTCTTACTTCTCGAAGTGTGGCCTTCAGAACACGGTGTCAGCAGCCCTGGAGGTTTGTTAGAACTCTCAGTCTCCAACCCAGATCTGCTGAGTTAGAATCTGCATTTTAAAGAGAACCCTGGGTGTTCATCTGCACACTCACATCTGGAAAGAACAAAGGTACTTGCTCCGTTGAGTGAGCACAGACAGACCTTGGTGTGTGTGTGTGTGATTTCAATGAAGATTTTCATCCAGATTTCAGATCTTTTTAATCAGAATCTCAAAGCAATGAGGAGTCAGTATTTAAACAAACAAACAAACAAACAAACAAACAAACAAACAAACAAACAAAGCCTTCCCAGATGATTTTAGAAAGGGGAGTGAGCTTATAAAATACTGAAGCCCAGGTCCCAGATCAGACCAATTCCATCACCGATGCTGTGGGATCTCCAGCCGCAGGAGAGCCCTGGGCATTTTGGTTCTTAAACTCCCCAGGTGATTCAAATGTTTGAGAGCCTTGAAAAAGGGAAAGAAGTCTGTGTGGGAGAGAGCAAGGAGGTGGTGTGTGTGTGTGTGTGTGTGTACAAACACCTGAAGGTTTGTCTACCTTCAAGGACAGAACAAAGATTGGGAGGTAGGTAGAATTTTTCATTTTTTAAATTCAAGTAATCATAGCATTAAAAACATTTTTCCTTCTTTCTTACTTTCCTCCCGCCCACCTTCTTTTCCTATGAAATGACCCAGTCCAACTCTTTCAGTTTGTAGCGACGAAATTAGTGATCAAATAGGTAAAGTGAATTGGCGAAGATCAACTCAAATCTTCTAATTCCTACCCAGGAATCTAATCTAACAGGAAATGAAATCCTCTTCCCCTTCCTAGTGAAGTCCCCACCGCACCGCAAAGGCAGTTAAATCCTACTGCGATTTCCATCGCAGGCAAAAGAAAGGTTATTCTGAAAAAAAAAAAAAAAAAAAAAAAAAAAAAAAAAAAAAAAAAAAAAAAAAAAAAAACCACACACACACACAAAAAAAAAACCCCCATAGTGCCTACCCCCTAAAGTAGGCAGGCATTAAATAAGGAATTGGCATTTTATAGCGCATTTAATTTAAAGGCGAAATCTAAAATTTAAATTTCTGTTTAAAAATGAAATCTAATTTGAATGTTGATCCTATTGAATTCCAGATAAATCTGTCCGCCTCTGAACCTCTGGGGCTGATAGCGGGCGTGGGCCTCCGCCTGGCGTGGACCAGGTCGTGGCCGTCCTTCGCTGCTGGGCCCAGCCGCAGGGCGCGCGGGTCTGAGCTCCGCGCGGTCAGTCCCGAAGGGCCGGCGAGACTTGAACACTCAGAGGGAAAACAGCCAGCGTGGGGGGGGGGGGGGAGAGGGAGAGGATAAAGGGAAATGCCTGGGACAAAGGCCAAAGGTAGTCTCCGTGGGGATCCTGGGGACCCAAACATTTTCCAGAGCGCCCAGCGATCCAAGGCTACCCGGCCCCTTTACGCTGGTGCTGAAGGGAGGAGCCGGAGGGCAATCAGAGCCTCTAGGGAAGCCGGGCCGAGGGCTCGGGAGCAGGTGCAGCGGGTTTTCCCGGGATGGGCGGGAGGAGGGCCGCCCAGGCGGAGGCTCAGCGCTGCCCTGAAGCCGGAGCGGCTCGGAGGGGAGAGATGCCACGTTAGGGCGCCGCGGACTCCCCGGGTCCCCGGGCGGCAGAGGAAAACCGCGCCGGGGTTCCCCTCTGGGCACGCGGCTCGAGGGGCAGGGCTCCCGTCACCCCCTCACTAGGCCCGCCCGGCCGGTGCGCCCAGCATTTCCTGGGGCGACTGGCCCGTCGAATCCCTCCGTCCGCACGGTCTCGGCGCGCGGGTCCGGCCGGGGCCGCGGGGCGGGTCCCGGCTCTGCACCTGCCCCCGGGGGCGGGGCGCGGCTCCAGTCCGCGGCCCGGCCACGCGCGCGGCTCCCGCACCCGCCCTGCCGCCGGCGCACCTCCACCGCCGCGCCGCCTCCCGCCTCCCTCCCTCCCGGCGCTGTCCGTCCGTCCGTCCGTCCCCCCGCCGGCTCACAGCTTCCAAGCCCCGCACTTCGGACTAGAACCTCCGCCGCTGTCATCGCCGCCGCTGGAACCCGCAGCCCCGCGCCATGGAGACGGCAGCGGGCGGCGAGCGCCGCAGCCCCCCGGGCCCCGTCGCCCCGCCGCGCACCCGGGGCCACGCGCCCTTGGCCGCCGCCCCCGGCCCGCGGAGCCCCCCGGCGCGCGAGCCGCCGCAGCCCGAGGAGGGGCAGCAGCTGCGGATCAGCCAGAGCGGCCAGCTCAGCGACGGGCTGGAGGACCGAGGTGAGCGCGCCGCCGGCCCCTGTCCCCCGGCCCCTGGCCCTGCCCCCAGCCCGGCCGGCGCGGCGAGGAACCCGCAACTCCCCGCTCCCGCTCCGGCTCGGCTCCGGGGTTGGGCTGGGCGCGGAGCAGGGACCTCCCCGGGAAGCAGCGAGGAGCGGAGGACGGCGGCCCCACCTCCCGCGGGCGGTGCCGCCTCGGAGCCCGAGGACCGGCTGCCTCCAGGGGAAAGCCGGGGGAGCCCGTGCCCTCCTCTCCGCCAGCCGCAGCCCCCGCCCCGCCGGCGCCCCGGGAAAAGTTTGCGGGAGGCGGTGTTTGCTTGTGGAGCTGAGCGCCCCCGAGAACTGTGGCGCCCTCGCCGCTGGAGGCACCTCCGACCCAGCCCCGTTCCTCACTGGCTCCGGGAAACTTCCCTCCTTGGGCTTGGCCTGGAGAGTCCATTCGCAGCGGCCGGGCCAAGCACCCGATCTTCATTTACAGGGACCCGTCACCGTGGGGTGTCCGGTGGTGAGGACGGAGGACTGTGGCACCTGGGCTTGGGCTGCCTCACCTGGGTGAATGCACCGAAACCTGGTGGTTCCCCAGAGCGCACGGCCCCACCTCCTTCGGAATCGCTCCCAAGGCCCTGGCCCCGGCCTCCCCAAGGCCCCTTTCCTGGGGGACCAAACCCCATCTTCCCGCAGACTGGGACAGCCGAAGCCCCTTTGAGTTGCCTGCATGAAACGAGAGACTCTCCCCGGTGCATTCCCGCGTCTTTCTCCTCCTCCATCCCTTTCTGTCTCCCTCCCTCGTTTCCTTTCCGCTGGAAGAAGCCCTGTTCTTGGCTGCGTCTGTATTTTTTCTGCTTGCTACCGAATCCAAGTCCAAATAGACCCCCTCAAAAAGATGCAGTGGTTCTGGGAAAACCGGCCGGTGGTGGCCGAAGCGCCATTCCAGCCGCCAGGCCCTTTACGGGGAGCCGGCTCCCCGCCACTTCCACCCGCTTTCTTGGACGCCTGATTTTTGTTGGCGGTGGCGGATTTTTATATTTCAGTCTTAGCAGGTTTCTGTCCTATTCTTAGTATCTCCTGCACATTTTTTTTTTATTCCGGTTTAGTGTGCAGATGCACGATCTCTTCCCTGTTAGAAATGTTAAACCGTAAGCCGGTGAAATAGAATGACATGGGAATGGCAGTCCCAGAGTGCAGGCTGACCAGGCCGGGAGCGCAGCGAGAACGGGGCTGCTCTGCTTGCAGGGAGCTGGGCACCCGTGTTGCAGTTTCTCGTGGAATTCTCACACGACTGGCTGTTATTTTAGATTTGGTGATAGGTGACATCACAGGCACCCAGCACCCAGCAGCACCTGCCAGTTTTGTTATAGGTGGTGTTAATTACCTTTCCACCCTCTGCATCTAACCTGGTGGTATTTACAAACTTGGTAGTGAAGGACAGCTCTGAGCTGCGTTTATTTTTGTAGCATTGCAGGTCATCTGCAAGAGCTGGCTAACCTCCTTCTCCCCACCCCACAAAATGATGGGAGGGGAAAAAAGTGCTAGGGTGAGTTGATACTTAGCATTGTATGGTAGTTCATGCTCAAGTGTAAAAAGCCCCTCTGAATTTGTTCTTAAGGTTATTTTTAACTGGCCTGCTGAATGTCACTTTTCATTATGGTATAGCGTGAAAGCATTGCCTGTTCACAAACTGTCACTCTGTGAAAGCTTTGCACACCACACACAGTCCCTCTGTTAGGATGGACCCTGTCTCCCAAAAACTTAGTGCTTCATGGCAGCGAATGCTGAAAGTGTGGCATTCTTTTGTTTAACCTACGCCTGACGGCAAAGAGTTAACGATGAGTGAGTCATCTTGATTCAATAAATCAGAAGGTTACCCGAGCAGGTTTACAATATTTTGTGTTTGTGTTATTTTTCCTTATGGGGCCCCATCTTTCCAATATTGATTTTTGCATCCCTTGGGAATGGTACAGTTGTTGCTGCCTTCTTCCTGATGGTGAGAGAATTTGGGGAGAAAGGAGCCTTAGCAATCACCTGCCGTGCATCTCTCCATCATGCCTGGCTTGCATGCTTCCAGGCCCACGTAAGGCATGTGCAGGCAGGGTACCCTGGATGTGTACCCACGCTTGGCTTTCTCTCTTGTCCTAGCTTTCGTCTGACCTATCGGGGCCCTGTGGCGGGCTGCTTCCAACTCAGATCAAAGGCTTGCTTTCTAAGCTAGTGCTTTGGGAATTTGGAGGCATTTTCCCCTAGTGTCGTGGGCTGGTTCCGAAAACCTAGCTAGCTCACAGTGTCAGTAACTGCAGTGCCATTTGACCGAGTCTTGGAGTTCAAGGCGCAAGAGCTCTGTGGTCTGATACCTGTGGGGACCAAATACACAAAATATAGGCCGCATTTGGCTTAGTGTTTTCACTCTCTCCCTCTTAATATCCCCCTCTTCTCTCCACAAGAGTTTTCCCATGGTTCTGCTCTCAGCCTTAGGGCCCAGCCTTGCTTCAGCATTTACTACTACATTCCCGGCTAAAGAATTCCCTTCCCCTTTAGCGAACCCAAGCATGACTAACTTTTTAGGAGAAAGCAACTGGAACTATAATAATTCATACTAGCATGGAAGTACTGATAGCTTTAACCTCCCCGCATATATCTGTATCCCCCCCTTAAATAATAATACAGACCTTCATTAATACAACCTTATGCTTACTATTGCCCGGCCCAGATTGCAAATATGTGAAATTGGAGTGAGATTAGAAATAGGAATGCGGAGACCAGCTACCTGAGGCCTGCCGTGGCTTCCCTAGGCCGTGCTGCCTTTTTTCTACTTTGGGAGCACAGCCTCCTGAAAATAAATTCTCATCACATCTCTGTGGCTTTCAAGTGTGCATGCAGCCAACATGGGAGCAGAAACAGAGGCACCCGTGTGCAGGCCATTTATGAGCTGGGTCTTTGTAGGTAATCATACCCCATTTCCCTTTGAGGAGTAGAATGTTTTCCATTCTTGGTACTGGCTATATTTTTAGAGAGAAAACTAGCAGGAAATAACCAAGGTTGGATAGAATGGGAAAGTTCCTCCCTATAGGGACAGTCTTCCCAGTGCATTTATTGCAGTTTTTAATTTAAAAAAATCTCATGGGAGAGATACACACAGGATCAGATCAAGAACCACCGTTCTACTCAGCAGGGCAGGCTAGCCTATGTGGACGGTGATCCCAAACCCCGTCATGGCCATGCTGGCCCCCTGAGGCGTGAGGCATGTAGATTGGTCTCCATGGTCAATCATATTGTTGGGAACTGCTGACTTTGGAAGGAAAGATGCCACGTGGCAGGATAGAAAACACCGATCATTGAGTTTCTCTTAGAACATTAAATCTACTTTTAAAAGGAACCTTGCTTTTTATCCCCAGTAGATAAACCCCTTGAGATTGTTGCTGTCAAAATACCCAGCAAATTAACTGCTTATTTGAATCATTACTTAAATATTACAGCTCCCCTTCTGAAAATCAATTTGCCAAGATGAAAGGAAGATTTTGATATCACTTACTGTGAGTGTGTGGGGACCTGCTCTTTCTAGGTTGTGGCTCTAACCGGACACAGGGTGATTGCAGTTGACGATGAGAATGGGGTGTTTTCTGCAGCTGGAGAAGGTGGAGACAAAGGGGCAGAGAGAAGTAGACAAAGGGATTTTACTTCGAAATCCCTTGTTCCCAGGATAGAATTTCCTAAGAGAGGTTTTTCTGTTTTCCATCCAAGTGCGTTCATTTGTGAAGGAAGGTTTAGGGAGAGACTGTGAGGTGATGGAGGTTGTGTTTAAACCTACCGTTAGCAATCTTATTTATCTTTCGATCTGATGTAAGCCTACAGGCTTCAATTACTTCAGAATCTCTGAGTTGTAAATGGGGCTCACCGAGCAGCCTTTCGATATTTCCTCTTGTTTTGTTCAGGACATGTTCAAGGTGCTTGCATCTGGGAAGGAAATGGAACTAAGACATTTGAACAGGGTCCTCGCTATAATTTTTAACAGGAGACAGGTTTTTTGTTTTGTGTTTGTTTGTTTTTTTGACTAGAGGCTTAGTGTGGTACCCATTCAGTCTAATAAGATGGTGCCTTTTACAGGATGCAAAGGTGTGATGTCGCACATTGTGCACTATTTTACAAACAGTGCCTGAGCTTTGACGATCAATTTCTTAATCTTTTGGAGCTTGGTGCTGAGGCTGCCCTGCCTGTGAGGGCTATGGGAGCAGCTTTCTAGCCAGAGATGGTGTCATAGCTGCTTTTATGTAGAATGCTTGACTGAGAATTTGGTTTTCTTTGTTACCAAGATGGGCTATGTATGATCTGTTTTCAAAGGAGAAGAAAAATATAAATTGGGATCATACTGAAGGTGTTTCGGTCTCCCACCCAAGGCGGTTAGTTGATGCTCGGGCATCGCCTGGGAGCCACGACTTGCTATTGTCAAGGACTCTCAATGTTGAAAGCCTAGGAGACAGAAATCAAACCTTTCTCACACATGGCCTGTCTGGAAAGCTACCTCCAGTTAAAACAGATTTACTCCACTTTAATATTCTAAGAATTTTTCAACATATGGTTGGTACAAAGGGATAGATACTATAAAGCAGGAAGGAGAGAAGAGAAATGGCATATAATTTAGGTCTGGCGGCTCTTGGTGGTGGCGGTGAAAGAGAAATGTGAACCGTCACTGAGGGAGCAATGTGAGCACTTGTATCCCATGACTTACTGCTTCGGGCAAAACCCAGCGCACCAGTTGGGACCGTGCAGGTGGATCAATGCAAATCAATGCCCACAGCTGAGGAGCCTGAATGGCTAACTAAATGTGGGCTATTGGTGTTTTCCTACCGATAGGGAGCCGTCACCTGTGTGAGCCACGCTAGTTAACCCAAGGGTGGGGGGGTGGCTGGTTCATCAGCAGGTTAGAGCGTGGTGGGGTCTGCAGGGCCCCGGCAAAGAAGACAGCTGCTGTTCCTCTGCAGGAACACAGGCCGGGCACTGCCAGAGCCTCTGGCCTTGTCAAGAGGTGCCCGAAAGCCCGACTTCCAGTGAACTCTCCTATTTGTAGGGCCGTCGTGGCCGTCGGCCGTCAGTTTGGAGCTTGGTGAGGAGGCTGCCCTTGCCGTGAGAGCTGTGTGATCAGCTGTCTACTCAGAGATGGTGTCATAAGCTCCTTTACTGTTGAATGCTTGACTGAGAATTTTTATTTATTTTTATTTTTTTTATTTTTTTTGCAACCAAGACAAGACAGTGTAGAAGAAAGTGTAGCTCTGGCTGTGGGTTTCTTAATAAGGAAACATCTAACTTCCGCTTCACCTTCTTTCTGTCAGGCTTGCTAGAAAGCAGCACCCGACTGAAACCTCACGAAGCCCAGGACTACAGGAAGAAGGCCTTGTGGGTCTCCTGGTTCTCCATTGTCGTGACGCTGGCCCTGGCCGTGGCCGCCTTCAGTGAGTAGCGGGAGCCTTGCCCATCAGTGATGTGCCCGGGGCTGCCTGTTTCTTTCTCTGACTCCTGTGGGGTGCACTTTTGCTTTTAGTTGACTGTTATTGATGAGTATTTTTGGGGGTGGTTGGATAGTCAGGGTGCTTATAAATTAGTAAAATGGCCTCTCTCCTCTGAAGAGGGAAGAGTGGTGAAGAGGAAGAAATGGAGGCTTGCTCTCTTCCTTGGAGGTTTGTGGAAATCAATTCCAGCTGCCAGCCGGACAGGGAGCTATTCTCCCAGTGGCTGCCTGCAGCGTGGGCTGATGTGACAAATGTGTTCCGTGAGATTCATATTTTGAGCCTCATGCAATCCGATGAGTGCAAATTGTAGTACATCCTTCCCTTTCTCCCCAGATATATCTGCATAAGGTTTGGGGTAAAATTAATCACATATTTTTATGAAAGAAAAAACGAGAGGGTCCTCTTTCAAGTTTTCAGTGGCCACAAAAAACAAAAACAAAAAACATTGATTACAATCAAGAAAAATGGAGACAATTGCACATTTCCCACCTCTGGATAGTCCTGTCTGGCAGGTTAGGAAGCCTCTGACATACTTCTCAGCTGATGATTGCAACCTATGGAAATGTGTTTGAGCTACTTAATCTTATTGATCGGGCCACGATTCACAAGCCTAAGCTATGACATTCAGCTTCAGCACACCCCTGGTAGAAACCAGTGCATTTTTAATGCTGGGGGTAGGGAGAAAGAATGTATTTTGTGATTAGTTCATTGCCTTAATAGAAAGATCTATTTTCTGAGTGATAAGTATACAAAGTGAATCATGTGACAAGAGTAGGAGAGAAAAGGAAGATAGAGTTCTGTGTTGTTTAAAATCCTATTTTACACAGATCTGCTGCTGCTGGAAGTTGGTGTTGGCTCCCTAGAGGGCATATTAGAATTTGACCATATGCTCCCGGCAAAACTAGACATATATTACTTGAAGCAATTTATATTGGAAACATTGTAGATGCCATATCTTGGCTCTCAATAAAAGCCAAACATTTAGAAGCAGTGGGTATATGTATTTCAGGGCATAAACATTTAGCTGTGAGCCAGAAATCTAATCAAGAGGAATTATAATTCCTGAAAATAGCTGCTTCTTCCTCTCCTCCTTTTCTTCTGATGAAACAAGAATAACAAGCCCGATTGAGGTCCCCAGAGGATAATTTGGTTGTGGTGGCTGTTGGCAGGCTCCATCAGACACCGTAATTTACATATGTAAGGAAGAGGGACGGAATGAAGGGAGGTGGTTTGCAAACAGAATAACAGTCACTCAGCTGTGTCCCTGTGCCTAATAGAGCTGTTACCATTTTATCCTGTGGGTGTTTGAATGGGGACCTGAATGTGAAGAAATGCTGCTTAAGTCCTTCCTTTGGGAAAATAATACTACATTTGATGTACTTAATATCATAATAGGGAAAAATTATGAGGAAATTTTGGTTTCACATGTTATGGGTTATCTTGAAAATTTTGTTCCATTTCCTTTAATTAGGAAAAGATTATTGCATAACATATATGGAATTAGAATGTTGTTTTGTAAAAGGTTTTTTTTTCTTTTTAAAATGATTTTACCTCTTTGTTGTAGCAAGTATTGTTGACAAGAATGTCCAACCTAAGAAAAAGTCTTAAAAGAATTATTTTAGCCAGTCTGAAAACAATTGCTAGGAAGCAAAATCTCAAGGGATTGAGAAAATGCCTTGAAGAAGGGCAGTTTTAGAGCTTATTTTTAACTAGAGACATGGTGCACATATTCGTGCATCAGTGGGGTCCTTTGGCCTGGCCTGCAGGATGGGGCCAAAATGAGCTCTCTGACATCCCCTGAGGAGTTCTGGATTGTGAGAGGGCACAGGCCAGGCCAAGGGACCCTACTGGTGCACAACTGGGGTTGGGGAGGGATGCAGGAAGTTGGCCAGCCAGGGAAGGACTGCAGGAAGGCTCCAGGGCATGTCCTGCAGGACTCATTCAGTCCTGATTTGCCGAACCCCAGTAGCAAGCTAACCTACCAGTTGGACTGGAGTGTCTGCTCCCTGGTGGTCAGTGCAAATCATACTGATCGGTTGAGCCACATTAGCATATAATTAGCATATTATGCTTTGATTGGATGAACGGCCAACCACACAACCAGACACTTAGCATATTAGGCTTTTTTTAAAAAAAATATATTTTATTGATTTTTTACAGAGAGGAAGGGAGAGAGACAGAGAGTCAGAAACATCGATGAGAGAGAGTCATCGATCAGCTGCCTCTTGCACACCCCCTACCAGGGATATGCCCGCAACCAAGGTACATGCCCTTGACCGGAATCAAACCCGGGACCCTTCAGTCTCCAAGCCAACACTCTATCCATTGAGCCAAACCGGTCCTGGCGCATATTAGGCTTTTATTATATAGGATATTAGAATCAAAGGAGGCAGGTAATAGTGGTGGGGGGAGGTAAATGAAGTTCATTGGTGGTAGATTAGGGAGGTAGGGGGGTTGCAAAGTATCTGAAATGAATAAAGAGTAACCCAAGAGACACACATTGGTGGATACAGAGTAGTTAACATAACATAGAGGTAGTATACGGGTAAAAATATAACAATGGGGGGTTTATCCTCTCTGCTCTGGTGTTGTGGGTGCCCCTGGGGGAGGGGGCGGTTCTGGAAAAAAAGGGATTACTCTGACATTTCAAAGATATGCTATCTTACATGCAAAAAAGACAATAGGCTCACTTAAGGTGAGGAAGCTACAGGCCTAGGACATTATTACTGCATTGACTAGCTTTTATTTAGGAATTTTTATGTGCGGACCATCCTGTGTGGTTACTTTTGGTCTCTGAGTTTGTAAGCTCTGCATGCAGGCCTTCCCTGAGCTTATTAGGTTTAGTATGTGCCCCCTTTTTTGTCCATCCTATTTAAGTCAAATACTCTAACTTCTTGCCTCTAACATGTTGGCATTGGCATATAATGTCAGGATCTTAGTTGTTTTCTATAGTACATTTGTTATCGTGATTAGATATTAGATATTAATAATAATAATAGGAGGAGAGCAAAGGGAGGCCAGACATTGTGAGCACAGTCACCTTGGCAGCCTCACCAGGCAGTGTCAAGTAAGGCAGCTTCCTTACTCTCTCTATAGGTGTGGCTATGTTTTGTGTGTGTGTGTTTCATATTTAAAACCCTTAGGGTGGTCTCTGATTGTGTTGTTAGGGTTGCAGGTTTTATCCTTTAGTTTCCTAAATGTATGTATAATATCAAATATTTAAAATTCTTTCTAAAGCTTCTTTTACATGTTGACACACTTTTGTGCAATCCTTTCCATAGTTTCAAATAGAAAGAAAATCCATAGAATTAAGCAATGTAAGTAGACTTTTGAAGTTATGTTTAAATTACAATCTGTACGGAAATTTTATGTTTCAGAAATAGCAAGTGTATGCTTCAAAAAGTGTCAGAAGGAGCCCAAGTCTTATTCTGCAAGGAGGTGGTTGGAGAGACAGGCTGAAATGAAATGGTCAGGCTAGCTCAGTCAATATTTTCAAACAGAATTGCTACAGAATCCCGACGTGCCCACGCTTGAGATGGCAGAGGAGTCTTTGGAGCGTGTGCCCATTTGGCAGGGCAGGTAATCATGGCAAAGAGACCATGTTTGTCACCACGACTTCTCGCCACTGCTGGGTGGTTTACCATCTCCTTGGGAGCTTGAAAAGCATGCAGTACCCAAGATGGTTCAATGAGTTAACTGAGATATATTTTCAAAACCCCTTTTGTAGGTGGAAGGAAAATAATTTAGAAAAAATTTCTCAGGAATAAACTTTAAAGGTTAGTTTAGGTACTGTTATCCAACCCCAGTTTGCGAGTCCATTGCCTGTGTGCATTGGTCAAAAGATGATGAATGAGCAAATTTAGAGTGGAGGAAGGACTTGATTAGGATTGGGAGCATGTATTTAAGTTAAGCTCAGTAATCTGGAGTTAGGCAAGTTTGTGCTCGAAAAGACCTGGTTTCCGGATGGCCGGTAGCTAACAGGTTAAATAGGGCAAAATCATAGGGCACCGTGGATCGGGGGGTCAGGGGACATGTTAGGAGCCGATTGGCTGAAGGTGAGGTGAGGGGAGTAAACAATTTCTTCAGGTTGTGAAGACAGCTCTGGGGCTGGTTTGGGGGAGAGGAAGCTGAGGGGGTTCTTTCACCTTAGGGCTCAGTAGCTGGCAGAGGCTCAAACCTGGGAACCATAAAACTAACTCTGCTCAGGTTTGTCTCAGGGGTTAGTGATTTTCAAAGGGAAAAGGCTAAATGTGCAGAAGAAAAAAAATATTTTTAAAGCTAAGGCTATAAATCATATCAAAATTATAAGTACCCATGGCTTTAATACCAGGCTTATGTCTGACTTATTTTATAAACCATTGAAATATTTCTGAGACAACTGGATCATCCTATGGCCAATCTCTCACCAGCGGTGATGTCTTGGAGCCGTAACTGCTGGGATCAGTCAGAATTCCTGTCTTGATCTTCTCATCGGCCATTTCTCTTCAGTCATAGATATTCTGATTTGTAGCTGAGCATCTTTGGAAAAAATGCTGTTGTCTCTTGCATGTTTGGGGATGAGGATTATGGATATGTATAAGCTTTGGGATGCCTCATTTTTTCAATTAGCTAGAAAGATTTCATATTTTAACAGAATGTCTACATTGCAAATAAAGACTGTTTCCCTTCACTTTGTGTAAGTTCCCAGGTAATCGGGTTTCTGTTCCTTCAAATTAGTAGCTTCTCAAAGACCCAATGATGAAACTAACTTGGGCCAGTATTACTGAGTTCTCTGTGCTAAGTCAGTTATATATGTAATTGTGGTTGACATTCATGTGTCAGGTGTAGTTTGAAACATTAGGTGAACTCTATCAAAATTTGTGATTTGGAAGTATTTTGAAAGGAATGTATTCTTTGAAAGGAATGCGAACTATTTTTGAAATTACTTGGTGATATGGTGATTT